CCAAACGGAGAGCATACGAGACCGGCGAGAGTCGTGTGAGCATGAGTGAGCAGGGCTGACAATAACTAAAAAGGAGCGATCGGCAGCAGGTAAATGTTAGTGTTTAGAGCCGATGCTGCAACTTTGAAACGTAGATGCTTAATTAATGCAAGGTCGATGTCGTAAAAAGCGATTAGCGAGCAGACATACAAACAATACGAAGGGTCGAAGTGTTAATGCCGCTTTTACCGTTAATATTGTTTTTACTCATTGTGGTGGGAGTCAGCTCTTGATCCCGTTTCGAGACGTCAGAGGCACGCAAAGGCCCCCGGGTTCCTCGGCTGGTTTGGTCGGAGGACCGAGTGCAGACACTACTACAAGCCAGGGTGGTTACGTATGGGTCCAGCTTTCTCGAGAACAATGCGCGAGCGCAACTTGCCAAGCTATGGGAAAACGTACGGCGCAAGTTGAACAAGAAGTACCACATTACTTCAACTATCAGCTAAGTACAGAACAAATATCAAGCCTTGAAGGCGCAGTTTGCAGATATTTGAGCGAATGAGGTGTCTACCGGAAACAAAGAGAAGGCTATCGCGCTACCGTCTTACTGACCGCTGCTTGTGTACTACTTTGGAGACAAAAAAGGGCTGCGCAACCAGGATTCTGGGCAGTCTGAGCCACCGATGCCACGCAACCAGGCAACGATGTCTCTACAGGAGGAATCGCTATTGGTTCAACGTGACGAAGAAAATCCGGACGAGCTGCTAATGTTCAGCCATAACGAGGGTGACCCGCTGTCATTGAGACTATCGATGACATCGCCATCTCACAGGGGGGAGAAGCAGCCGCTCCTTTCTTCGGACGCATATCAGAACGTTAGAGATGATGGCAAAATAGATTGAGACAGAGCCAACAATCATTTGGAGCTGTGACAGCATCTCCGATATGGAGGACTCCGACACCTATGTTGAGCCGAGCTATACGCGATGAAGCGATTTCTCGGCACGATTCTCTTCGAAGGCAAAACTGCCCGGCGCTTTCGCTCATTTTGGTGAGTCACTGGCCTCAGCTCTAGCTGCTCCTGAAAGTAGAGCTCAAGAGTACATTGCTGTGAGAGAGAAACTTGCTAGCGTGCAGCAACCGCAACCAAGAATCATGGCGTCGCTCGATCAACTTCGAGATGCGGTGGATCAATCGAGAGATGCGAACACTCAACTGCTTAGGGTTTTAAAGGGGTAAATGTCTACGAATTGATTCTTTAAAGTGCTGCGTTACTGGAGAATTCTACGTAATCTACATCGTGTTTTATCTCCAAAAATAACGCCGGTCTTTTTATTTACATGCTCCTGAACGCGAGCATCATTCATCGCACGACGTCACGCTTTCCTTAACCATTGTGCCTGGGTTTTCTTGTTCACTTTATGCTTCAGATCAATTAATCGTTTGTGCAACACGAACATCGCCGCGATGGCAATCGCCATATACTCTGGTGTCTCTTGCTGGAGCGGCTGTTGGTATATGCAAAATATGACTTTGAGGCGGCCGAATGCTTGCTCCACTGTGATGTGTGTGCAGCTGTGATGGTAGTTGTACTTGCTTTCCATCGGATCCATACCTAGTCGAATTGGATATGACGTTAGCACGTGTGGCGTTAGCCCATAGCCCGCATCGCCGAGGCAGTACTTGCCATGGGGGAGCTGTGCAGAAATCTTATGTCCAAAGATGGAGCGAATCAATACCGACTGGATATTTTGGGCACCGTTTCTTATCGAATAAGACACCAAGCGTTGTTTGTGATCTACTACCGCCTGTATATTAAATGCAGGATATCCTTTGCGGCAATATAACCCCTCAAAGTCGACAAGACGCTGAATGCGAATAAGAGTACAGTCGAGAGCGCAGACGGCACCTGGAAACCCACACTTTAGAGCAAAACCGCTCTTTACTTTACACGTTCTGCCGTTGTTGGCAAACGGATTGTACACCGTTCACTCTAATTAGTCGTGGTTCGAAATTAGTCATGAATCGTACTTATATGAGATACATATATAGTCATGCACCAGTACTAATCGTGCCCAGCCCACGGCGCCAGCCGATCCTTCGACAAGTTGTCGTCGGATATCGACAGCCCCAACTTATCAGAGTGCTCACTTTTCGAATTAGAATGAACGACACAGAGACACGATCACTGCAGCACTTGTCGGGGTAGCGGATCGAGCTCATTGCGTAGCTTGGATGAAGGGCAACGATGTCGAGGATAGAGAGAAGGGTCTCTACGGTCGTACGGTCGACCAGTTCCCGTCCCTCTTCTGGGCCACCGACCGCCGCGTCAATCTTAACAAGGCGCGAGACATGTGGGCGAAGCGCTCGGCCCTTCAAGCTGCACTGACCGATGACCAACAGCGCAAGTACACCAGGACGGCAAGCGGCGCAAGACACCAGTTTACGCACAAGGCTTTGATCGGTCGTGGGCGCAAGCTCGATGGACACTGGGCCTGGCTCTATCCGTTGTTACTTGCAGAATTTGAGCGGTTGCGCCGAGCGGAATTAAAGCGGTAATCCCGGCTCGTTATGGACATGGTAATGACCATGATCGAAGACAGCAAGCACGCTCTATACAACCCCGCGTACTTCTTTAGTGAAAAAAGGTTCAGTACACGGATCACGCCTCGACGTATCCAGGATTTCACCGACAGGCACAATATCGTGTACCGAAAGCTGAAACGAAAGAAGCAGGTTAGTGACAAAAAGATGGCACAAATTGAACAGTCTATAGCGTTACACCTTGGCATGCTGAAACGTGAATTTGATGACGGCCGGCTTGACCCTGACCAGCAGAACAACATGGACGAATCACATTTTGTCATAGATCTGGATGGTGGTAAGACACTAGACTTCCGAGGTGCCGACGGCGTGAAATACCGTAGTATTGTATCAGGTACGACATATTGCTATTATTTAACCAACTATTTATTTTATACTGTACCAAAACAGCCTACTGACCAATATTAACTTATGTTAGTAGGTCGAGAAGAAATTACAATTGTGCGTGTTATTGAAGAGGGGTAGAGACGCCAAGCTGCTATCTCCGATGCTAATATTCAAGAATGCCAAATCAAGCTACCCTATACAAGGCTTATCGGACAATGTTAAAGAAGTTGCATACCGCTCGCCTTTATCAGCAACAAACTGAAGCAGGAGTGGCTGAAGGACGTTCGCTGCTGGGGTCCATCAGGGCCTTTTGTGCAAGAGCGTGTGCTGTGGATGGACAATTCAAGTGGGCACGCAGGTGACGACGTTGCATCACTTGGAAAGGAGCTCAAGACTCGCATCCGCTTTTTCCCTCCTAACTCTACAGACTTCGTCCAGCCAGGCAGACCGGTTCCCTATACAGAGGATCAAAGTGTCCCGGCGGCGGTTGTGTGAGAGAAGAAACATGGAAGCAACTCGGCGCGGCGATTGGATGCAGGGTGCCAAGTCGTCGAAGTCTCTTGCAAACCCAGGTAAAAAAAATGTTCTAGATACTGCAGCTGAATGCGTCCGTCAAGTAAATGCAGAGACGGACAAGGAGGGAATCAACTGGGCTAAGAAGTCGACGATGCTGCGGCTTAGACGTATATAGTGATGGTACGTGACAGGTTAAGCAACTCGGCAAGCCTTTGCGAGAGATTGTAAAAACGTATCGTGCTGAGTTTGATAAAGGCTACGAAGAGTGCGCAGCGTCTGAGGGCCTGCTTAACAATATTTCGTACTTAACGTTTAGGACTCATTTAGGACAATATTCTTCCACAGTCCGAAAACTGTTCTTGTAGCCACCCGTGCACCACTAAGCTATTTTCTGCATATACCGCTGGTCAAAGCGTGAGGGCCGGCATTAAAACTTGATTTATCTACGCCTACTTTATTAAATTAAGCGTTGGCAAACATCCGAAAAGTGGTGATTACTAATGAGGGCTCTACACCGTTCACTCTAATTAGTCGTGCCATGACTAATAATGGTGATGAGCGATGAAGTCTGAAAATAGGCATGATTATTTTAGGTGCACGACTATATAAGGGCATGACTAATTATGGTGAAATCGATTGTCTATTTTAGGGACTGCTATTCAGTCACTGACTGCGTCAAAATGACTTACGAACCATTTAGAGTTATCGAGATAATTGAGATTCTCAAAATCTTAAGAATCTCATACGATAATAGAGACGATTTTATTTTTTGGAAAAAAATGAAATTTTAGGATATATAATTCGACACCTTATTGGAGGCTTTGCCTAGATTATGGCAACGACGTCCCTTTTTAGTGCGAGTACTTAACCTATTTCAGCGGAGATTAAAATACGAAGCCTTGCGGAGACAACCTTGGTAGGGCTACCCTACCAAGGATTTCATTGTGGGGCAACAGCAGCCAGGAACTCCGCAGAAACGAGTGCTCCCACGTTCTCCAAGTGTCGAGCAGCAGACCACGCAATAATCGCGAATCTCGAGTACTTTGTTCTCTTGATCGGCTCCCCACTGTCGCTATAGACGTCTTCAGGAACCCCATAAGGCTGCCACACTTGCAAAAATGATTCGTGTCCGGGATTCAGAAAATTCAGTTTCCTCGACAACATTTTATCATCCCAGCTACCCAACGTTGCCCCAGTCGTCGTGTACCAGTGAAGAACTTGTTTGCGGCTATACTCTTTCCAACCCTCTTCACTAAGAGCTGCGACAACTTTGACCACTAGTTTGACCAAAAATAAGCGAAGCTTCTTATCCGACGGAACGAGATTGTTTGCTTCTTCTAGAACGCGAACTCGCGCACCATCCACACCTTTCAATGCATCAGTTCCCAGCTCTCCAATGCTCTTTTTAGTGTACTCATGTGATAGCAACAACGCGAACGAGTCGTTATCCGGGCCCATTCCTTTGATCACGTTGGCGAGCTCATCACTCATGGTCATGTTTTGGTCCCGTTTGAGGTGGTACTTCGATTCTGGTAGACAAATTGAGTATACTAAAGCAAGGCAATACCCCTTCGTCACTTCCTCCAGTGCGTGTTCAGCATCCGAATAGTGCACGGCGTAATGTGGAAAATAGGCTGCAGTAGCGTCAGCTTTACCAAAATCGTGACGGTGTTCCACTTGTCCGTTTCGATAAACTATCAAATCGCCGCCTTCGTGAGTACTTGGTGGCTGGACTACCAATGTCGCAATCATTCCGTCCTCCTTCTCAGTATCCTGGTGTTTCAGGAAGTGGCCTCCTTCTCCATACACCAGCAGCTTGTAGAGGACGCAGTTCAATGGAACACCCTTGTAACCCAAACGAGTAGCGATCGTCTCTGTCAGCGTCTCCATTCCTATTTGCCACAATGGATTTCTGAGCTCCACTTGATCAGGTTCTAGTTGCCAACTCTTGCGGACACTTTCGTCCATCTTCGTGTCCATGTTGTGTCCGAAAGGAGATTTAGCACATTTCGCGATTAGCTTCTCTGCGTGGTCTGGGGCAAGAGGCAAAGGAATGCTTCCGACGTTGTTGACGAATAATCCAGGAACGACTGGGAGAGTTTGGGCTAGTCCACCGAACGAATATTCACCTGCATGCTCATCAGCCGAAGCCAGAATTTCACTTATCTTCAAGCACGCAGCCCCTGTCGGAGAAGGGACATCATCCGGCCCTCCTTGTCCGCCAAAAGGCCACTTGCCACATTTGAAATCTCGTCTGAAAGACATTTGAATTTTGGATTAAAAGAAATCGTTTGAAGCTTATAAAAAGAAAATGGAGAATGACGTCTTGTTGGCGGAAAATGACAAGCACCCCCGCTCTATCTCGTAAACTGATAAAATAAATCAGAAAAAATCAAATGTCAGAAGCTATC